AGTGGGCAGCATGGCATGGTAGGCGGTTCCCACTATGTGATGTACCTTGACCTGTAGCTAGAAATTTATAAATGGAGAATGCCGAGTTCCGAATTGCGAGATTACCGATTGTGGGACGATATTCTGGAGTTGGGTGCATACCATCAACGACGCTTGCCTCAGACCTTGTAGCGGTAACTTATACCGAAGGGTAGGAGCCTATGGGTAAGTACTAAACGGTAGATGCCGAGGCTCCAACGACTCTGGGGACACATCCGGGGGCAAACGGGTTTACGATGCTTGGGTTCCTGACGTCGGATTAAGGGAAATGCGTTTCCTGAATCAGCTTGGCCGACTGGGCGTTGACCATCATTCTTGCTCGTGGGTGACAAACTCATGAAGCTCCCATCCGTTCTGGTATGCGCGGGTTCTTGGCATCCGGGATGCTCTGCGCGCCGAAGAAAACGAGCACACGGAAGAGTGAAAGCGAGTTGGCATTGATCTGGATTTCCTATCATAGTCCCAGCAGGGTCGGCGGCTTTCGACTTGTTTGGATGATCATCGAGATGTTTTGAAAACCGGAAAGTGCGGAGACTGGGGAAAGGTTTGGGCGGTGGTAATGAGAGCCTTGTTGATGTCTGCTTCAGAGCCGAGCTCTGGAACTTAGCGGTTCGGTGGTGGCTGAAGAACAAAGCATTGGACACAAGCAATCTCATAATCGGTAACGCCGCCTCTGCGGTAATCCATAACCTGGAGTTTCCGATCAGTTATTATAACGCACCTACTCATGCCTGCATGCGTGATCTACGAGCTATGAGAACGGGATGAACGGATCTCGCGCAGGCGTCAGATGAGAGCGAGCACGAAAGACAGAGAGGAAAGCGGGGCAGAGAAGGGGTCCAAAGAAGTGGGAGAAAGTGCGGTGGCCTGCCGATAATGGGCGAGCAGAGCTGCTTTCGCATTCAAACAAAAGCAAAGGACATATCGGAACATGCGAGTAACTCGGCGTAACGGAATTTAGCGAAGGAGAACCGAAACAGAGGAATTAGCAACTCGGGGGAGTCGAACAAGGTAAAGAGAGCGTTGAAAACGAGAGGGAGGCGGCGAATAAAGAATACTAGCAATGTGTCGGGGAGATGTAGGGGAGGGGAGGGGAACCTAGCTAAGTTAAAAGAGGATGACAGCCTGATTGCAGAAGGAGAGGTGCGGCAACAGAGAGGTCTATTCTAATGGGGGGACTATATGGTATTCTGCTGGAGGAGGAATATAATAATATAGAGTTTAACCCGTTAGCCCATCTCAACAAATCTTCTCTGGTATATCGGTAGAACATCACCCTGTCATTTGGGCGCCTAGCCCAGATTCCCACGGCCGGTGAAGAGCTGGGTTCGACTCCCAGGAGGAGAGATTGACTTTTTGCAGTCGGATTTTTTTTTTAGTCAATCAAACATCTACTTTCCCACGCCACAGCCTTCCCACGCCCCAAACATCCCACGCTCCACGCGTCCCACAATTCAAGTATTCCACGCCACAAACATCCCACGCCATTAACCGTCCCACGCACTTTGCCCTCTACGGACCTAAGCCCTCTACCACGGTAACTCCGCTGTATTGCTGCCTACCTAACCGTGGACCTGTTTAGCTAGTCACGTCTCACGCCACATGCCCGGTATATTCCCACGCCGTAGCTCTCCCGCGCCACAGACATCCCACGCCCTCGACGCTCTATGGACTTAGCTCCCTACCACGATAGCTCCGCCGTATTGCTCCGACTTATCTCCGTTCCTTACCTTGGCGAGGCGCCATGATAGTCCTCTTCCGCTTCGCAAGACCGGCGCGATGCTTTAAAGGACCTGTGGTATTCCTCCTCCATCATAAGCCGACCCAGCGCCCACATGCACCCGTTTGCCCTTTTCGCGTGAGGATATTGATGCCCAGATGGACATCCGGAATATCTAGGGAGCCCAGGAGCAGCTTGATGCTTCTGAAATTTTGAGAGGCCCTGCACCGGATGGCTATCGTCGTGTTTTCGGAATCAGGACGTGCTAAGCCTGGAGAATGGATCGACGACAGTAACGAAAGCCTCATTTGTATCTGCTCTGAAGCTGAGCTCTGGATCTTGGCGGTTTGGTTGCCGATACAATTGCTCGACCGACCCGACAGCCCGCCCATGGCCAAGTTACAACGCCTCCTCCTGCCCCCTTGCTTTTCCGAGGGAGACCTTCTTGGCTTCAACTCCAACAAAGTGGACTAAATGATCGGCGGCGTTAAATGATGCCTTGGCAACGGTGGCACAAAACCTTGCCCTGATTGGCGGGTCGGTCGAGTCCACCGTTGGTATCGACATCCCGTCACGAAGCTAAGACTGGCCCAGCCCCTCTAGTGTCTCGCCGTCGATGGCTTACGTTTCATGCTCCAAGTCCACGACGACCTCCAGCGCCAGCCACGGAAGCTTGATTGCGTTCTTGAACGGCTGTCCTGCCTCTCCTTTGGGCTTCGGATGCTACGCCCCGCTCCAGTTTTGGACGACCCAGAGTCTGGCTATTTTTCGTGGCCTTTGGTGATATATCAAAGTATAAAGATGTACGACAGCAACGGGCCTCGCATAGCATGCTAGTTGCTTTTCCCCCGACTCCGCCCTCCTCGCTCTGATAGTTCTATCCTTTTGTTTTTCTACTTCTGGATGACATAAGAGGAGAAATTCACCACACGTCGGGCACGGGGCCTCCATTGAGTCCGCCGCTACAGATTTTAATCGGGAGCATTTGGCGAAGCCTATCAGCATCCCGTCACCAGACTAGGATTAGCCCAGCCCATCTAGTATCTCAACATTGATGGCGTACGCTTTTGCAAACCGATCAATGCCGTACGGACCTCGCTGGCTGATCCTTCAATGACGGCAGGGGATTCACCCTGAACGTTACGGGGTAGCAGCGCCCCAAGTCTATAATCAAGCCTGCACATCCTGCGCGATGCTCTAAACCATAAAGGATCTTTACAGCCATAGGAGCTCGATTGCGTCCTTGAACCGGTGTCCTACCTCTCCTTCCGGCTTCCAATGCCCCGCAAACCCATCAGCGTTGGACAGGCCAAAGTCCGGTCGTAATACGTGACCTCTGACGATATGTCGAAGTGCGAAAGATTCAAGTCAACACTGGGGCCCATACAGCATGTTGATTGAGGACCCCTACCCCTCCTTTCCCTCTCTAACATTCCTATGAACTTTCGACTTCCGGATCACACCAGAGACGAAATTTATCTCAGGTTGAGCGATGGGGCGCTCATTATACCCGCCGTTACAGTCATAATCCCTAATGTGTATGCTTTGGATGATCCTGCTGAAAGATACTTTCATCGAAACCTGATTCCGACTCGTTTGACCCGTCTTCGCTGTAACTTTGGCTTCGGCGCGGCCTGTCTCCGCCGCTCATGCCTCAACACGAGCTATAATATGCCCCTAGATTGGCTTCAGCTTCACCCTAGGTCATTAGATAGTTTTTATCAGAACACCGCACGTAGATGGGGATTTACACGTGAACCCAACCCTAAACAAAGGCCGGAAACCGCAAAATTACTATAATTTTTCCAACGTATGTACTATAGCGAGACAAAGAAAACAAACAGGAGGAAGCCTGACTGGGTATCGGGCTTCCTCCTGGCAGACTGCTGCCGTGAATACCCGAGTGCACAGGTCCGTGCCGTTGGTAATAGGTATAAACAGGTGGGTCTATCCTCGATCTTCGCTTAACCAGCCAGCGAGACAGGTTCTTTTGCCGATGTATCGGACTCCCAACTCGACCATGATTGACGCATCACGCGATAGTGAGAATGATAGTGGGTCGGAAGAACGGTCAGGGCCAGAGACCCCGGTCTAGGCTTATTTCCCTTTCCGTTCTCGTGCGTCCTCGTTAATATATATGCATCTGAGTGAGACACCTGTTTAGCCTCGCATTGCGGGCTAAAGACTTGACTGACACGTAAAAGGAGAAACCAAGTCCGTTGGGACGCGAGGAGGCCCACGAAAGACAATCCGACGATTGTAAGGGGTGCAGAAGTATATGGTACAATCGAATGATGAAAATGTCTATCATTTATGTTGCCAAAGCCTTGGAGGACCATAAATATCGCTAGGAGGCGATGGCTGTGCCGTGCGGTTTTGTTGATAGTTTTCCAGAGGAAGGGTTAATCTCTACGGTACTAGTAGGGCAATTTTCAAGTCCTCTCTGCTCATCGCACCCCGCCTCTCAGCCCTTGCTCGAACTTGTGACAAACCTGGCGTAGCTATGCGGTTGTACGAGCACCGGCCTGACACTGCTAGACCATTCCCACGCACGTGCTTAGGTTGTTTCGATGACGGACGATTGAAACATAAAACTCTCTATAGCCGGTAAACGAACTTCATCGTATACATCCATGATACAAAATACGGGGAGAATAATA